AGGTTCCTTTCATGTTTCCTGTACTCACTCTCTCCCATGGCAGAAGGAGTTGTCTGTGGTCATTGGACTCTTCTCATCGGGTATTACTGTAAAAGGTGTAGGTTTTTAATTGTTCAAGACTCCATTGTTCCACTGTTCAATTTCTTCCTTGTTGCTGCGAACGAGCTCTATAAAAATTTATGTTTTTTTAACTTGGTCTCAATTTTTTTATGGTTGAATTGAAGATTAATTAATTTTGATTTTTTATTTAAAAAATAGAATAAAAAAGAAAGGATTCAAAATAAAAAGAATATCAAACATAGATGACATATCATAAATTTTATAAAAGATACACTTTGATTCTTAAATGTAAATTATACAAATTCAGTATCTTAATATTTTTTCAGTTTAATTTTGATATGAAAATTTATTTTTATTATTTTTTAATTGTTGGTTGAGAAAGAAGAGAAAGAGTTAAATGAATTTTAATGATAGAAAAATAAAAGTGGCGTTGATATTGATTTAAATTACTAAAATAAATAATATTTGTGTCAAATAGTTTCATTTAATTAAGAGATATTATATTATATGTTTTTTTATCTTTAAATTTCATGGAAAACAAATATATGTACTCAGGTTGATTTTGATTTTTAAATATTTTTTGAGACCATGAATAGTTTTATAATAATTTCTATAATGTTTTATATCTGTTCTTAGGCCTTTACTTTTTGGTAATCATAATGACTAGAATCTATTAAATTAGATAATACATCCTTTGATTTTTTTTAAAAAAAAATTAGAATAGATGACATATTATATATTTTAGTTGCAAACAAAAAAAACAAAGGGCTCAATTGCACAAGACATGCCTACTTGTCAATTTAAATTAATGTTTATTTTTATGGTTTTTTATTCTCTATTTTCTTTTTAATTTATATTTAAATTAGTATGTTTTCTCTTTTTATTTTGTTTGAAGAATTTTTTTTAAATAACAATTATTTGTTTAGTTATGTATTTATATGTAAAGAGTTTTTCTAATTTATTTCTAATTGTTTTTATTTTTTATATGGATGGATTCATATAGTATTTTTAATATATGCAGCTTTTCATGATTTTTTTTCTTTTATTTTATTGGACTAATTTAACTTATATTTATGTTTGTATTTTTATTATTATTTTCTCAAATAAATAAATAAAATATATTAATAGATAAATTTAATAAATATAATTAGATAAATATCATGTTTTTCAAAATTAAACATGTTTACTTACACCTGAACCTCAAAACCCATGAAGTCATGATGCGGAGGATTCACTGTAGTTAATGTTTCTATAATGCTCTCATGGTGTGACTTTTTATGTTCACCTCCACTACCAATTATCAATGGATAGCGAACTCCTATAAAACCTTTTTTCAATGAAATATTTTATCGTTAAATCTATTAATAATATAAATTGTTAACAAAATAGAATTTATATGTCAATGGAACATTCCATCGGGTTTTTTCAGTCTTTATATATATATATATATACTATGCAAAATAAGAAGAACGAGGATCGTCTTGAGTGATCGATGTCCATTTCACGGGCAATTCTTGGTGATTTCCATCACAGAGGATATTAATTGTAACTTGTCACATTTGTTGAGCAAAATATATAGCAAAGAATCGGGGCATTTTTGCTTGTCAAGTTTGTTTTCTTGCAACTTGGAGGGTGAAAATAATATATCTGTCAAATATAAAAAAAATTTAAAAAATAAAAATAGTTGCAAATAGTTCTTTGATGTTTTTTATTTGTTTTTGTATTTTTAAAGTGTTTTTAAAAAAATTAAATTTTTTTATTTGAATTTAATATTTTTTGATATTTTTAAATTATTCTGATACACTGATATTAAAAAAAAATTATAAAATAAAAAAATTATTTTAATATATTTATAATTAAAAATATTTTAAAAAATAACCATAATTACAGTTTCAGATGATTTTTTACAAATTAATGTGGTTTCGTAATGTCTTATTTCTTAGCATTTTCAACTTTAATGTAGTCATCAATAACATTTTTAATACTCGTGATAGTTCTGTTTTTTTATCCAATTATATTAGAAAAAACATTTATTTAGTTAAATAGCTTTTATTATTAACAGTGAATAGCATACCAATTTGAAGATCGATGCCACAAAAATAATAATTGTTTTCTTCCGAGTAGTTATTCGCTAGCAGGTGTTAGAGCATTTTTAATGGAGAAGCTAAATGAACAGTGAAAAATAAAAAATTAATATTTTAATTTTTTTGTTAATTTTTTATATTTTAGAGGAAAATCTAAATAAAATATTAAAATATCTTTTCTTCCTCGTAAATGCTATTCCTGGACATCTTTTAAAAGAATCAAAATTAATAATGCAGAGTCAATAAAAAAATAAACTAATTAAATTTAGCCATATGAAAAAAAAAATATTGAAATTATTAAAAAAATAAAACATTTATTTATTTCATTCTAATAAAATTGGCTTTCTAAATAGTTTTTTTTAAATATACATAATAAAAAAATTTATATTTATACTATTTAAAATATTATTTTACCAATTTATCTCTTTAAAAGAACATCTTTTATTAGAGGTGCTCTACTATAGAGATATATAGCTGCTTGATATCGAAGCACGTCAAGGCTTTTCTTCTTCGTCAACTCCGTGGACCATATTCCTTGTAAAAAATAAACATATAATTAAGCATTAATTAGTTCATACAAAAAGACTTAGGTGTTGTCTTAAGAAAGATTCCAACAACTCCGCCCAGTCAACAAGTTTTTGTGGAAGTAAAATCGATGTCTGGATCTTGACTAACAAGCCTCCTGCTAACCAGGTTAAACGCAGGAAAGGCAGCGCTAGACCTGCACCGGAGGGCTGCAAAGAAAAAAGTGAAAAAGGAAGGTAAAATTATCGAAAAATTCACATGGTGAATATGCTTTTTGCATGTGGATTTGTCGTTAGTCCCTTGAGGTAGAGATTGCTGTAAAAAAAGTAATTTTTGTTTAGAATTATATTAAGATAATATTATTTTTATTTTTTAAAATTTAATTTATACGGTAACATGTTTAACGTGTCAAGATTATACAAAAAAATACATAAAAATTTTTAAATTTTTATGTGGCATGAACAGAAGTGACAATATTAATTTTTTTAAGAATTTTTATTTTTAAACAATTCTTTCCATTGTTAATTATGAAATTTGTCAGGAGAAACAACATAGATTTCATGAATCCTTTTGGTCCAAGGAGCTGAGGTTAATCTAAGAAAACAGTAGTAGTTTTTTTAATATAAAGTAACTAGGGACACAATTTATTTTTGTATTTTATTTTTACTTGTCTTTATTAATTTATTTGTTAAGCACCTTTAGAGTTATATAGTCAAAATGAAGTGCAAATAAAGTACTATATTGGTTAGAAGTGATTTAAAAAGCTTATTTTATGTTGTCAAGAGTTTATATGATATGTAAATATGAAAGTGATATAAAAATAGGATTAGCTCCTTTTTTTAAAAAAGAGAATTTGGTTAATATTACTCCTTCTTCTTAACAAGACACGGCGCAAAATTTACATACTAGCATGCTATAATGTTAATATTGCATAAAAAATACAATAATCATTGAAAAGTTTTAAGAAGTTTGTATTTTTATTTTAGCTCGTTTATCCATAAATACATTCATTATCTAAGTGGTTGAAAATAATAAATGAATTTTTCTTAAAAATAATCTATTTTTAATAAACCATCTCTACTAATAATATTAAAAATATTTTTTTTATTGTGCTTGAAGTCGTGGTCTAATAGAAGATGAGCTTATTTTCTTTCTCTACATCTAAGTTTGATTATTTCTGTGTATGCTTATTATATCTATGATGTTTTATTTGTTCACTAAACTTGCAGAGTATTTAATAAATTTTAAAATTATCTATGGTATATATAAGATAACCTAGATATCTTAATTTATTAAAAATAAAAAAAAAATTTTTTTGCGAACATGTTTAAAAATAAATTTATTTGAAATTCATCTTTTAGCAATTTATAATTATAAACATATTTGAATTTACATGTTTACACATATTTTATGTTGTCATGTAATTTATTTTTCCTTGCACAGAGTCAAGTTTTTTTTTTCTTCTTTTTTTTTAAAAAAAAATTCTTACATGTATAGGTTTTTTAAAGCGAGATAGTATGTTTTGTAATCACCAACAAAACACTTTTCCATAAGCATAGATAGATTTTATATATTACTGTTGTCCTGTGTTTGCATTTTCATATAAAAATATAAAAAGATAAATATTTTTAATAACTATAAAAAAGATTCTATCAACGCACACAATAGTAAATAAAATTTTTAAAAAACCTATCAAGTAAAAAAATCATACTTTTACTTACACAGTGATGAGTTATAAATTAAATTAACTTTCAGCAATATTCCAAACCAGTCCCTCAACTTAAGAGACGTGCGTTTCCACTACCAAAAGATCACTGAAAGCCCAGTTTGGCTTCTCATTTCTCGATCACCATCTATTTATCAAGAATTGCGTGTCAGGAATTTCTCAGAATTGCAAGAGGTTTATACTTTATATTAAAAAACCAATGATAAAGCATCAATAATATACAACTTGCAAAACACTCTTAATATATATATATATATAATCACATGTGTGTTTGATAGCATAATTTATGATATTTTTTAAAGTGTTTTTCAATTTAAAAATATTAACATAATGTTATTTTTGATTTTTTATATTAATTTATTAAAATTATTGAATGATACCTAAAAAAAATATTAATTTTGAGTTACATTAATAAGAAATAATTTGAAAAAAAATGAAAAACAGAAGCTATATTTTTTAATACAAAAAAATAAAAATTAGAAAAGAACACAGAAATAAAAGTGGGAGTGTGAGAATCTTTTTTATCTGTTTTTCTCTTCATTTTTCACTCGTTTCTTTTTCTATCTGATATGCTGCTGGCTAGTCCTTTTCCTCTCTCACTCCACGCACACACACACAGCGACGCTGCCCCCCCCTCCAGTACAGGGCCTTAGGTATATAGATACCCTCTGTCTTTGAAAAAATAGTACTCTAAATTCTGTTTCTAACTAGTTTGGCAGCAGAGAAAACGAGGGAAAACCTGAGGGAAAAAGTGAGAAAATTATGAGGGGTCTAATCTGTCTTGCATAATCTGCGAAACCTCTCTGGGTTTCACTGTTAACTCTATTTCTCATCTGGGTACTCTTTAAAACTCCCAAAACCTCTCTTAAAAACTAAACTTGATAAAGCAACGATGATCAGTATCGTAGACCTCTACCATGTCCTTACAGCTGTGGTACCCCTCTATGTGGCCATGATTTTGGCTTATGGTTCTGTCAAATGGTGGAAAATCTTTAGCCCTGATCAATGTTCAGGGATCAACAGATTTGTTGCTCTGTTTGCAGTACCCTTGCTTTCTTTTCACTTCATTTCCACCAACAACCCCTATGCTATGAACTTGAGGTTCATTGCTGCAGATACTCTTCAAAAAATTATTGTCTTGGTGGTTTTAGCTATTTGGTCCAGAGCTAGCTCCAGAGGCTCCCTTGAATGGTCCATTACTTTGTTTTCACTCTCTAGTCTCCCAAACACTCTTGTTATGGGCATCCCTTTGTTGAAGGGAATGTATGGAGATTCCTCAGGGAGTCTCATGGTCCAAATAGTTGTTCTTCAATGCATAATATGGTACACATTGATGCTGTTCTTGTTTGAGTATAGAGGAGCTAGAATCTTGATTGGTGAACAGTTTCCTGACACAGCTGGCTCTATAATATCCTTCAGGGTTGATTCTGATATTCTTTCTTTAGATGGTAGAGAGCCATTGCAAACTGATGCTGAAGTCGGTGAAGATGGGAAGTTACATGTTACTGTTCGGAAATCAACTAGTTCAAGATCAGAAGTTTTTTCTCACATGTCGCATGGTCTAAATTCTGGTCTTTCATTGACTCCTAGACCATCTAATTTGACCAATGCAGAGATATACTCTCTACAATCCTCAAGGAATCCTACCCCAAGAGCATCGAGTTTTAACCATACCGATTTTTATTCCATGGTTAATGGCAAGAATGCGAGTCCAAGACACTCTAACTTCACTAACTTGCAATTCGATGAAGAAAGTGGAGGACTTGGGGTATTTGGTAATGTTCCAAGAGCAAATGGAAGTGCTTATCCTGCCCCACCAAATGCTGGACTCTTTTCTCCTGGGGGTAAAAAGAAGGCAAATGGGGCTGAGAATGGCAAGGATTTGCATATGTTTGTTTGGAGTTCAAGTGCTTCACCAGTATCAGAAGGTGGCCTACATGTCTTTAAGGGAGGAGATTATGGCAATGACCTCGGTGGGGTAGCTAACCATAAAGGTATAAACACTAAAACTGGACGGTATTTGTTTGAGTTTTTGGATTATGTTGGTGTCTTACATGTTGTGATTGTGATTACAAGTTATTGGGCAGAAGAGTTGTGGATTATTTCTTGGAACCTTGTGTCTCTTGGGAAAACTGTTTTTGTCTTGTTGAATATTAGCGGTTTTTTCATTGGAGAAAGCTTACTTATTTTTCTGTTATGTCAAGTGGGATTTGTTGGTTTTTGTTTGTTGCACTTTTTTTTCGTAGCTTTCCATTTTGCCTTTGCTTTAGCGTGGGCATGGCTTTGATGCTTTTATCAACAAGGCGTCCCCTTTATTTTTGTCTTTATTTCCTTACTTTCATAACTGGTAAGTCATGGTGACATCTCTAGTTGTGTAACCTTGCTGGTATTGTGTAACACAATTAGTGTTAATGTTCATGTTTAGAGTATTATGGCATTGTTTTACTTGCTTCTTAAAATAACAGAATCCTCTGTTTCATGCTGGTGTTATTTTCCCGGGCACTGATGTGTTTTAATTGTGATGTTTAGATTATGATGATTTTGGTCGAGATGAGTTCAGCTTTGGAAACAGACCTGGACCAAATGGAGTGGATCGGGATGGTCCAGTGCTTTCTAAGCTTGGTTCAAGCTCTACAGCCGAGCTACACCCAAAGAGTGCTGCTAATGATGAAGCCAAGCCAACTGTCATGCCTCCTACTAGCGTTATGACAAGACTCATTCTCATTATGGTGTGGAGAAAACTTATAAGAAATCCAAATACCTATTCCAGCCTGATTGGCCTCACCTGGTCTCTTGTTTCATTCAAGTATGATGCTAGACTATACAACTCGCCATTCAGTTTATTGAGAACTTTTCTCCCGTTCGATACATTACCTCAGAAAGTATTTGCAATATAACAGGTGGAATATAATGATGCCCGCGATCATTGCTGATTCAATAGCTATTCTATCTAATGCTGGTCTTGGGATGGCCATGTTTAGTCTTGGTAAGTCAATAATCAGACTCTATTAAACGATTTCTTGACTTGTTTGCTTGATCTATCTTGGTAACTTGGCTGCAATTTGGAAAGGGCCTGTCATTGTTGACTAATTAAAATTATTTTGTGGGTTTGTAGGTTTGTTCATGGCATTGCAGCCCAGGATTATCGCCTGTGGAAACTCAATTGCTTCCTTTGCCATGGGTGTTAGATTCCTCACTGGTCCTGCAGTCATGGCTGCTGCTTCATTTGCTGTTGGTCTACGAGGAGATCTGCTGCGCATTGCCATAGTGCAGGTAAAACCCTGAGAATAGTCATATGAATATCACACCATGTCTATAGACAATTTTTTGTTTACACGTATTCTACTTGTTTTATCAGTTGACAGAACAGTGTTTTGAATTTTCAGGCAGCTCTTCCACAAGGGATTGTGCCCTTTGTCTTTGCAAAAGAATATAATGTTCATCCTGACATACTGAGCACTGGGTTCGATACTCTAAATCCTGTTTTTTACTCTAATATAATTCCTGCTGAACTGCGTTTATTTTTAGAAACTCAAAACACTTCCGGAAAGAAATTATTGTGCTTGTTCATAAATCGTTTTCATGGGATCATGAATGATAGTGATGGTTCATTGTAAAGATTTGCTTTTTTCACGAATCTTAATGCTAAGTAGTTTACGACATTATTAGAAAATTCGCATATATTTGCTGTAGCTTCCACATCAATCGCTGAACTGTAACTTGCTCGTTAATGTACCACATACAAGCATTAATGATTTGTAATCCCTTAATTATGCTTTATTTAGTATTGTACTGTCTTTTGTCTTTGTTTTTGATATCCTGATTTTCATGTGGCCGCAGAGTTATATTTGGTATGCTAATTGCTCTACCCATCACACTGGTTTACTACATTTTGCTGGGACTTTGAAGGTGAGGGCATCACTGGAGAGCTGATGAGCATGGCATCACAGGAGCTGATGAGCTACAATTAGTTATTACAGTAGTAGTACCGAACACATCTGGCCATTGGGAATTTTCGGGCATCCTCTAACAGAACATGAATCGAAGTTAGAAAGAAACTAGCAAGGAGAAGGCTTTAGGAAGAGTTGTTAGGAAATGGAACAAAGTGTAATTCTCTAATGAAATAACCATTGGAGGGCCTAGAAATCTTCAAGTCATTTCCCCTTTTTCCCATCTCTAAAGCCGTGTGCTTTTTTGCCTTTTGTTCTTCTGATCAAAGAAAGTGAAGCTTGCTTGTATTTGAGATGCACCTGTTGATTAACCTTCTTTAAGTTCAAAAAAATAAGATTGCTATTAAATTCTGTATGGAAAGCTCAGTAAGAATCCGTGTCCTCCGCAACAACCAGGACCTAGACATGGGAAAGCACACAGGGTTTTCGGGTTCTCAGCCTTTTTGGTCATGGATCTAGAAAGGTCGCAAGGGTGTAAAGAGCACTAGCTGTCATGTCCTATTCTTGTCTATGAACTAGCATACATTTTAAGACCACACTTGAAAAGTTGGCAGGCCTATGAGCCTAGACTTAAAAGGGTACTTTATAGGATGTGTTTGGCAGCATGACATAGCTTTACGATAATGGCAACACTAGGAGGCTATCATGCCAAATAGGTTTTGCTGGTTTGTTGGAGACCATTAATGGACCTCTTGTGAGGCTGTCTTCTGGAAGTGGGCTTATAAAGGCATGTTGATTCAGGGCTACTTCTCCATTGAATCTGTCAATGGAAAGTCTTCTTTTAATGGGAAAAGCAATCATAATCCTTGAATTGTTTAGCTTTTATTCTTCGCGCTCCCCATTCTTTCCTGCCAAACATGCTTGCTTGCCCTCTTAAGCATTTGATTGTGTCAATAAAATCTACAAGTCATAAAGGATTTTATGTCTTTAAAATAGTTTTAAACAAAACTTCTGTGTTTCGAAATATGAGATACATGAGTACATGCCATGTTTTTATTACTTTCGTTCCTTTTTTAATCTTAAAACAATAATTAAACGCTAATTAAACGCAGAAAAGCAAGGAATTTGAGAAATCAAAAGCATTACTTCTTTTAAGGATTCTGGATCCTCTAATTATTTGATTAATTATGGAATGGTGGGAAGGTGAGTTATAATTTTGCTTTGTGATAATGGTGGTGATGCCATGCATCATGGACATCAAAATTTCCTGAAGATTAAAGTGGGATAAGGTGTCGAGGAATATCCACCTTCCTAGAATTTATTTATTTATTGTTGATGGGTAGACCCTGGAGGTTCTTTTCCCTTAATTTCTGCCCCACTATAAACAATGCTTTCAAGAAGTATAATTACCTGGTACTTGGGATTTTGAGATGCCACACAAATGTTTCTACTTTTACTTCAAAGTCTTGGATACTGCTTTTTACCGTGATAGCCTTTGCTTTTTTTTATTTATTAACTTTTATAGAACCAAATACACACTTATATGTGATAGCCTTTGCTTTTTTTATTTATTTTCGTGTAAAAATTTATTTCATATAATTTTTAAAATTATAACAGGAAAAACTTTTATAGAACCAAATACACACTTATAATAATATATTGTGTGGGCATCATTTATTTATTTTCTATTCTAATCTAGCTAAAACATATTAATATTTTTATAAAAAAATATCATTAATTTATCAGACTTGTAACTTGAGTTTTGTATTAGGAGTTTGGTATTAGGATACTTTAGATATATTTTAACATTACAGGATGGAGTTAATACTTTATTTTGAGTTTAATTTAAATTTTTATAATTAATTAATCAATCAAATTTTCACCACTTCCACTAATGCATATACATGATATTTATACATCAATAGCTTATGATTTTTTTTTCCTGTGAAAAATAACTTATTAACTTTTCATATTAGGTAAGATTTTAAGATATAATTTATATTATATTTTAATATATTTTTTCAAGTGAAATATTTTTAAGCTTGAAACTTACATAAATTCATATTATTTTGTATTTATTTTTTATCAAATAAATAAGGATAGTAATATTTAAATTTGTGACCGTTTAGTTATTAAAATTCTGATAACATTTTAAAGAACTATCTTAACATAATAGCTTAAATTATTAGGTAAGATTTTTAAATATAATTTATATTATTTTCTAATAATAAAAATCATTAAAAAAATAACTTTTATTTTTAGAAATTCCTTTTTAGAGGAAGTTGGGAATGAAATGCAGGTCCCAAAATACTCAAAGACAAAAGAAAATAATAATAATAATATTTTATTCAAAAATGAAACATTTGGTTATTATTTTGAAATAAAAGTGACAATTGAGCCATAAAGAATATATTTCCTAGATTTTTTTATCTTGAAACAATAAAAAATATTTAAAAATTATTACAAAAATTAATTTATTTTATATTTTTGTTTTCATCAATTTAATTAAATAAATTTTATTTTTATTTTTTCTAAAATGAAACACTTACCAAACACACTTATCTAAATTCTTACTTGATGCCTAACATCAAGCACATGGATATTACTCAACCTTTTTCTTGATTGAATTTCAATGAGACACTTCTCATTTGCTTATGTATGTATTGTCTATAATTATCTAAATTAATTTGATTAAAATATAAAAATAAATAAATACAATTACAACAACTTCAAATAAACTGCTAAATATTTAAAGATTAATCACTTTTGTAACTCACCCCATTTTTTTTCTCCATTTCCTTTTGTGTTGGCCATGCCTCCATCTCTTGCATGCGAATTGAAAATTGGAAGATCAAATGATGTTCCATCATTTCACTTCATCAAAAGCCGAATCCTCATACCAAGCACGCTTAATTTATGGAAATTACAATAATAAAATTACGAGAAGGAGAGAAAAATAATGCAGCAATTCGCCTTTTCAACCGATAGTGTTTTAAGATAATAAGTTTTTTATATTAAGATATTAAAATAATTTAAAACAAAAAAATTATTTATTTATTTTTTGGAAAAACACGTCCCATGATCTGCAAATCATGGCTAGTGACAGAGGCTTACTAAAAAGCACTTTAATGGGTGCAAAGTGACACCAATCTCCATCGAAAGCAGACAACACTGCTGAGTTGCCCTAATTAATATCACAAGTGGGTTCGACTTTTCTCTTCTTTATTTTCATAGTTCAGAACACACTGATTGAACCATGAAAAGTTCAAAAATATTGAGATGACCTTAGTGAATATAATGATGAAGCCAGTTAGTAATTTTCTGAATGATCTTCCATAGAGTGTGCAGCACATGTGCCACCATTGCAGTCACTAGCATCCCTCAAGGCCTTATATAGTTTCTCCCTTTTGCTTTCAATATTATTTTAGTTCCTTGACAAAGCAGAAGCTCTGTAACTCCTGGAATCTATGTTGCATGATCCACACCACCCCATTTGCCTTTTATAATGCAATGAATATGTGTGAGCTTACAAGTAGGTGTAAAGGCAGACGGGAGGCTAGTTTTCTGTGGAGACCATGAACAGAGAATATGTTGGTGGAAGGTTGGATGTGAAAAGACTGGTTGCAGTGACAACAGAAGTGCATTTTTTTTAAAAACAATCTTGTAAAAAGAGTGCTTTCTGAGAAATATATAGATCCTAACTTGGCGGGCCAAATACAAAATTCAATTCTCCTATTTAAAGTTTGAAAAAATTATTTGATAAAAATTATTTTTAATTAAAGTTAATTTTATATTTATATATATTTAATTAAAACTGTTGTTGATATTAAGGTTAAATAAAAAATAATAATAAATATTTAATTAAAAATATTTTTCAAATTAAAATTATAAAATAACTAAACAAGATATATATTGGTATTGATAATTTTTAATTTAAATATCATAAATTTAATTATTATTATTGCATCATTAAATAAATGACACTTTATATTAAATATTTTTTATTATTCAATGAAAATATATATAATTCCATCACATGCAAAATTCATCCAATAAGGATTATAATTTTCATGGTTTTTTGAGCGTGTAATAAAATCAAATAAAATATCATAAAAAATACAATCAAATTATGCAAATATTTCTTATACCATGTCTGCACTGTTTACTCTAAGAAGTAAACACTGTTTCTTTTTAAAGTGAATATTATCAAGTGAATTATTCACTTCAAGAAAGAATAGTGTTCACTTCTTGTAAAAAGAGTGCTTTCTGAGAAATATATAGATCCTAACATGGCGGGCCAAATACAAAATAAATTTAATACTCCAATTTAAAGTTTGAAAAAATTATGTGATAAAAAATATTTTTTATTAAAGTTAATTTTATATTTATATATATTTGATTAAAATTGTTTTTGATATCAAAGTTAAATAAAAAATAATTAAATATATTTAGTTAAAAATATTTTCCAAATTAAGATTATAAAATAACTAAACAAGATATATATTGATATTAATTATTTTTAATTTAAATATTATAAATTTAATTATTATTATTACATTATTAAATAAATAATACTTTATATTAAATATTTTTTATTATTCAATAAAAATATCTATAATTCCATCACATATAAAATTCATCTAATAAGAATTATATTTTTTATGATTTTTTGATCGTGTAATAAAATCAAATAAAATACTATCAGAAATAAAATTCAGATTACAATCAAATTCTATAAATGCTATATTATAGTGTAATTTTCTTCTAATTTATATAGTATCATTAAATAATATTAAACATTAATTTTTTAAATAAATTATAATAAAAAGTTAATTTTTTTTACTGAATCTATACTGTTCACTTCAAGAGATGAATACTGTTTCTTTTTAAAGTGAACATCATCAAGTGAATTATTTACCTCAAGAAAGAATAGTATTCACTTTTTAAAGTGAGTAGTGCAGAGTGAATAAACAAAGTAAATTAATTCACTCTGCAGAGACCCGGCACAAGAGAAAGAAGCGTATCAATGCTCCTTTTGGGTAACTTACGGTCAAAACGTAAATTATAATGGTCCTACACACGATAAATAACATTTATATTTAACCAAATATTTTATTTTTGTAATTTGCTTTAAAAAGCAGTAGCAAATATAAAAATAAATACTCTCTAAATAATGAATGACTCCATATGTGATGACTAACCTTGGAGTTCATAACGGAGCTAGATGTAAAATTTTGTTCTCAATTATTGGGAAATTTGATTCCTAAAATACACTATGAAAGATGATTTTTATGTCGTTTTTTATCCCACTATTGTTTAGTGCCAATGATATCATAATAGTTGTCAAGTATAGGTTAATTCAAAAAACATCGATAATATAAAATCTAACTCAAGTTGGATTTATAATTAAATTGATTAAGATGAATTAATTAATCTAGTTACAATTTAACTCAATCAATCAAATCCTATCAATACTTGATCAAATAAAAAACCTCAGCTTTAAATGATTTCAACTTGACTTTTTTTATTAATTAAAAAAACTTTAATAATTTATCAAAACTAACACAAGCAATTCAATTTAGTGTAGTGGAGATTATTGTTTAAAGTTTTTTTTTGTTTGAAAATATATAAAATAATTATTTTATTTTTAAAATTAATATATCAAAACGATAAAAAAATCAAAAAATATTAATTAATTTTTTAAAAAACATGGATACATCACACTGCTAAGTAAAACATTACTAATTTAATATTTTTAATCACAATGCCACTTGAGCAAATGGTCTGCGTCTTATTTCTACTATGAAAACAAAAAATCCTGGTTTGAATTTCATTTTTGTATAGAGCCAAAATCATGTTGTTCTTGAGGAAATGGTCTCTGGCCTACCCTCAGTATACGCATGTCCATGTATAATCTAGGTTGATTTCAGTGCTTGTATCACTTACGAGCCCACTCAAGCAAACACAACTAATAGCAAGGCCCGAGCACGATGAGTCTTTCAATTGGTATAGCACTCTTCACTGTCGGCTCATATCGAGCCTATGGTCCATATATATTTTTTTCAGTCTTGACAAAAAATAATAGATAATCAGGTTAATTGGATTAACTTGAATTTTTAAATAAATCGAGTTTTATTTATTATCTTAAATTTAGAATAATTTAGATTCTAGATGATCATCCAGGTATTGGATCAATTCATTAGATTGATTTGAGTTTTACAATTATATATCATTCAAGTCCGAAGGATGGGAAATTCAAACAAAAATGTATAAAATAAGTTAATCGATGATCACAATGGGTTTCTACTATATATTGCCATCAACACTGTTGTTGATAACAAAAATACGGGAGTATGGTAGAATTTTTTTTAAATAGTTTTTATTTTAAAATATTTATTTTAAAAAACTAATTTTAATATTAACACATTAAAACTATTCAAAAACATGAAAAATATAAATTTAAAGTTAAAAAAATTTAAAATTTTACAAAAACAAGGTTGAACCGCATTACAAAACTTGACTTAATATCTTTAGGTGACCATTACTTTATTAATATAACATGAAATGATTTTTAAAAAAGATATAAAAGAAACCATTAACATTTTGTTGGACTTGTGGGTAGATCAAATTTAGTAAAAAAAATAAAATAAGCCAGAAACAAAAATATATGAAAACATTTAATAAGTGCACTGGAATCCCTCAAAACGCTGGGCACAATTTACACCTAGCTGAAAATTAAAGTAAATAATTTAATTTATCGTTGCATCTGTATAAAAAATTAAGAATCACTAATCCCACCATAAAAACAGTCACATTATCTTTATTTTGTTAGTGACATTGAACTGCAATTGTATAATTGCGAGCTATCATCTTGCAGTCAATCTAAGTCTAAGTACGTATAAATGGAAATTAATGGAACTGTGTATCGAATATATACACAGGCCCAGATGCCCTAGGGCTCAAGCTGGTTGCTGCACAAAATATGCAAGCCGCTTGATGAGTTTATCATGGGGCAGGAAAATCCACAAGACTATACTGGAAACAGTAGAAATCATTTGCAAATTCCAATTTTTTTGGGGTTACAGGAGAATTAAAATGCATTCGCAGGTAATAGATTAACTTGCATTAACAAAGCTATGGCTTGAATTAAACCTAGAGTCAAATTCTCAAATTCATAATCAAAATTATGTATAAAAAGAAATAATAATTAAAAAAGAGGAGAAAAGGGGATTATGCTTGGACTTTGGATCCCCCAGCTCCCATTAACGGTGGGTTCGGTTCACTCATTTGCCTTTCCTTAACATCATTACGATGATATTCTGTGTTCCGAAGAAGACCCCAATAGTGTTTTTCTGTTTAATTCTCCATTTTTTCTCCTTTTAACTGGCCTAGTAATCTTTTGTTCATGATTAAAAAAAAACTTGTTTGACCGCTATAGTGTTTTGCCCTCACCACAATTTCAATTTGTAAATGGATCAAGCAAAGAAACCCTACCAATCATGATTGATATACATGTCCTGACCACAATTTTAATTTGTAAAAGGATCAAGCAAAAACATTCATGATTGATAGTTTACTTGCTTTAACACAGACACAAACATATTGAATTTTTTTTTTTAAAAAAAAACATTCATGCACTGCTGGTATGGATGTTTTCTACAATGCCTTTCGATGAATCCATTTTAAGATTGTTTTTACCTCAATATATTGAACTAATCCTTTTCCTTCTTGAGATTTCAAGAACTCGATTTAAGTTTTTCATTGACTAAAGAAGCATCCTTGCTTACAAGATTGAAAATATCAGATGTGAATTCCTCAGCTCACACTCTCACCGTAAAGAAGCAAAACCAATCCCACTAGATTATGATACCCTACTGACCATCGTTGTTAAACTTCCTAGTTATACGAGTTGATTTGGTTACTTGCACCCTGGCCTGATAATCAAGTGACTCGGACTCTAAATCGAGTCAAGTTCTGAACCATTTTCGACAACTATGATCGACATTGCCCTATCATGGTTACAAGAAAAGGAAACAAGGGAAGAAGAAAGAGCTCCTACAGAGAACATAACGAGCTACTAACTGAAATAATCTTGCAGGTACATTGATGATTATTTACTGTTGAATATTACTGCCTGTTAGGCATTTAGGTCAGCATGCACAACTCTTTCTAACATGGTGAAAAAGAATAAACGCAAAGGTTGAATATGAGTTTTCCTCTCAAGACTTTATGGAAGAAAAGATTCCTGGAAAATTTTCCAAAATTGACTTCTTTTTGAAAAATTATTACATGGATCACGCTCGATTGGTCGGCGAACCGGTATTGTTATTGGCGACGGAACAAACAGAAATCAAGCTACTGTGGTGCACATCTCAGGTTTTGGTTTGCAATTCATAAACCCTCTAGTTAATTAGGTATGAATTTGAGATTTAATGATGGCATGGAATGGAGATTAATTTTCGTTAGCAAAAAGAAGAAATTATTTTTGAGGATTATATATAGATAGTTAGTAGATGTATTTCGTATGTTTTCAACCAGGGCTTAATTATTGAAGGTTAATTAGTCCATATTAATTTATTTTCTCATAAATTTCATGTAGTGGTGGTTGATGAAAAAAAATCCGGATCTATACAGCACCATAACTAGTTTCTGCTTAACAAAAATGCATTCTTAGTATCAAATTAATCAACACTATTTATATTTGATAAAAAAATGAAAATTAATCATAATGAATTCCTTGATCTATCCTTAAATAATTATATGGGATTTAAGATGTCAATGAGAAGATTAATTCTTGTTAATTAGCTTTAAGGTTTGTTTGAAAGTATGATTAGGTTTATTTTTTAAATAATTTTTTGTATCAAAATACATGAAAATAATTTTTTTATTTTTTATTAAAATAATTTAAAAATATTAAAAATATATTAATTTAAAGTAAATAAAAAATTTTAAAAATCAAATTCACCAATGAATATCAATTGAGTTAAAAAAGGAAATAAAAATTATAGGAAGCCGTAAATATGTGAGTGGCTTAGCCATGTTATAAGGCTTCAAAATCCCAAAGAATTAACGCATATCCTGATCATATTCATTTGAGAACTGTTTTGAAAAATGCAACAGTCATCAAATCATTGGATTAATGCAAATTAATTATTTTTATTGAAACAATATGGTTTCATTTTCTCAAAGAGATCACTCGGTGTTGATGTAGATGGGTTCTAACCAAGTTTAGCTCTCGTATAAACTAAATTATAATTTTTTATAAAGCTAATGCTTGTTTTAATTTAACTTGAATTTAATTAGGATCAACTTAAATTTCAAATCACATGTTTCTTAGCTAAATTCGTTATTAGGGTATTTTCAATGATAAAAAACCATTAAAAAGCCAAGTGATTATTATAATATTTTGACTAAAGTCATTTTTTTTTTTTACCATGCGTTACTCTAATGAAAAAGAAATTTAACAAGATATTTTATATTTACATGGAATGATGAAAGAGAAAGGGAATGTTTAAAGAGAAAAAATAGTTAAATTTTTTCCTTTATTTTATAGTTTTTCTATAAAATAAAAACATACATGAAGAATTTTTAATTTTAACAAAATATATTTTAATATCCTACATAATTACTTTCTGAAAAAATGAAAATAAATAAATATTTTAATAAATATTTTTTAAAAAGTACTATTTGACATTGCATTTCAAAAATATTTTAAAATATTTTATTTTTTAAAATTAATATATATTTAATGTTTTTAAATTATTTTAATAAGGGGTGTTAAAAATAATTTTTTTAAAATAAAAGGAGGTGTTAAAAATAATTTTTTTAAAATAAAAAATATTATTTTAATATATTTTAAAATATAAAACTTTTTAAAAAATAAGTATAATGAAACCCGGAACACGCCAGGCTCAACATCCGGGGTTCAACAGCTATAGTCGTAGCTCCCAGTATCATTAGTCCTCCGGGTCCACTGCTTTACACGAAACCTTATCCTAAAACGACATAATAAGTCAAATCAAACGACTACAAATAAAAATCCCTTTAAAGACAAACCCAAAACCACCGAAAGGCATAGAGCCCTACACTATTTTCAACACAAAAGATTGAAAATCTCCCCTCCCCTCCTCTTCTCTTAGAGCAATCCAAAAACACAACATGCAGCCTGAAAACTGCTCAGAGAATTCACAGTTGTACCGCTTTCTTGCAGAGAATGGAATGATTAACGTTGGAGCATATGGTTTCCCAGCCGCGATGCAAACCTTGTGTACCTCATCAGCCACCTCCTACCATAACAATAATTACCACTTTGAAAGTTCTGTAATCACAGATATGACAGCACAAGATAGAGCTCTTGCTGCTTTGAAGAATCACAAGGAAGCTGAGAAGAGAAGGAGAGAGAGGATTAACTCTCATCTTGATAAGCTTAGAGGCCTCCTTCATTGCAATTCCAAGGTAGTTATATAAATATTTTATGTGTGTATACTATTTGTCGTGTTTTCTAAGTCTTTTGTTGTGTGTGAATTGATCGTGTTTTTAGTCATGAAGTTTAAGGGATTATATCAATATTCTATCTCTAAAATTTTCTTGTGAGAGGGTTGCCTTGATTATGAGAGAAAAGGATCACATTCAACTTGCAGCTTTAAAGTTGTTTTCATGGCAAAGTTTGTAATTTTTCTCTTCCGGGATTCGTTTTCATGGCAAAGTTTGTAATTTTTCTCTTCCGGGATTCATCTAGACTTAAAAAACATGATGTATTTCAGGGTATTCCACAATGTTTTGCTTTATTAATTTTGACTGTTTGGCTGCTGAGAATCCATGGGAAGTGAAAAAAAATCGAAACTTCGAGTTTTAGACTTTTCAGTTTTCATTACCTTTGACCCGCGAAGCCAAAATCCCTGCTGCCTGGCTTGGCGTTTGCCTAATCAAAATCAGTTGGCATTTGTATTGTACTCCAGTGTCCATTTTTTTTAAGATCAACTAAACAATGGTTTTCACGTTTAGTGCTTCATTCAGTGATTTTTCTGCTTCTATCAGTTTACCTGCTCGTTTTACTTGGAAACCAAACGGGAAGGACCTATACAGGGCTTATTGTTGCTACAATACTAAGATTCAGATTCTAAAATCTTGGATCTATTCAAGTCTATTGAGACTTTCGGATTATTGTTCAAACAGCTAGTACATATATATATCTGCAAAAGCAAAAGAAGCTTCCTTTTTCTTCCCCTCTTCTTACAGGGTGTAAGTTTTTTAAGGAAGTTGCTAATCGTTTTGCATTTAGAATCTACTATAGCTAGGGTTTCTAATCAATCTTTTTTATTTTGTCTCAATTTTTACAGACAGACAAAGCTTCACTTCTAGCAAAGGTTGTTCAAAGAGTTAGAGAGCTGAAACAACAGACCTCAGAGCTTTCTGGACTTGAAACTTTCCCATCAGAAACAGATGAAGTCACTGTACTCTCTGGTGAATATTCAAGCGATGGACAGCTAATATTTAAGGCATCTCTTTGTTGTGAAGACCGGTTGGATCTCATGCCAGACCTAAATGAGATACTGAAATCTCTACATTTGAAGACATTGAAAGCTGAAATGGTAACACTAGGAGGAAGAATTAGGAATGTTCTTATCATTGCGGCTGACAAAGATCATAGTGTCGAGTCGGTCCATTTCTTGCAGAATGCATTGAAATCTTTGCTAGAACGCTCGAATTCTAGCGAAAAATCGAAAAGGCGAAGGATATTAAACCGAAAATTAGTAATCCAATGATGATTAGTATTATTGTTTGTCGTAGTTAATTTCCTTTTTAGTCTTCTCTTGTTCTTCTTCTTGTTTTTTTTTTAATATTATTTTAGGTGTTACAGGCTTGTGCAATCTGGTTAATTTCTATAGTTGTGGGGGTTTGTTTGTTTTAGTTTAAACCCAGAAAAGAATGGAGGGCAAAAAAAAGGGAAATGAATTTGTGTGGTAGTTTGGATATTTTATTTAACTGGTCTAGGGTTTTAGATTATTGTAAATCTCCTGCATGTGATCTTATCTTCCATGTAAGGAGACAAAGCTGAAGAATCAAAGAATCTGTAATGAAGATGGTGAAGGAGCCGAAATCTTTTTACGTGATGTATGATTATGGTATCTGTAAAAGCGAATATTTATGTGAGTTTCCAAGCAGAAATTGAAGACTTTTTGCCTGCGTGTACGTACTACGTAGATTTCATTTGATTATCTTCTCTATGATATTTGGCTGTAAAAGGCATTTCCATATCTGCTTTTATCCAATTGATGTGTAGTACTAGAGTTCCATTATTGAGCATTTTGTCTGTAATGTACACTGATTTTAAAGAAAGCAAGAGAAGGGAAAGATTCTGAAGTTAATGCAGACTGCTTGAGTTAGATGCAATCTCAGAATTTGATGCTAAACTATTTAATTGGGACAGCAGATGACTTGCAAGAGTTTTCTGTGAGAGAATTTAAGATTGTGATTGTTTAAGATCTTAAATATTTTATTAAAATAAAAAACACGAGAAGACAAGTTGGAACGACATACTCACAAGAATCCAAGAGGATCTCTGATCTATTTCGCAGGTGTATCGGGAGTCGATGAAAACCAACACGCTCGATCCCTTAACTCTTTTAAGAGAACTTGTCGAGTTTTTCCTTGCAGAAAATTTCTCTCTGTGATAAAATAATTTTTAAACTGTATAGGGAACACATGCGTATCTTATCATTGTTTTCTATGAAGAGGTTTTTTTTGGTAATTATGTTAGTTAAAGAAATATTGTTTTTCTAGCTACTAATGTTCTAATTTGGAAAAAGACTTGAACTTGTTTGTCTTGATTATCATAAGCTTGAAGTGTATTATTTGTATTTTAATTGTTTCCTATTTAGTGAAAGGAACATTGGGTTTTAACTACCAAACGAGAGATATATAATCTTAATTGTTTGCATAATTTTAAGTGTGAATAGAAACCGATTAATTTAAAACAACGTTAACTCACTAATCTAATGAATTTACTAGAATAATGTCGAAGAAGATGGCATCACTACAATATATGATCGAAAGTCTTATTTACATCTATTGCTACAGTTGTTGGGATGAATGAATAATTAAGTAGGAGATGCATTGTACTATTTGACTAGAATGATGGCATCGGGATGAATGAATAATTAACTAGGAGATGCATTGTACTATTTGACTAGAAAAACATTTGGGTTACTGAGTTATTGATTAATCTAAGAGTGTCATTTGATCAAATCAATTCTATTATTTTTTGTTTATAAATTTTGATTTTTTAAGAAAAATTACATGGTTTTGATAAATCGAGTTTGAATTTGATCATTATACACAAATTGATAAGAGGAATGATGAATGCCAAACTTGATTACTCTATAAATATAAATATTTATTTTCTAAATTTAATTTATATTCAAGTTGTTTTAATTATTTTATTATTTGTTTAGTTGTATTAAATAAATTTACTCATATTGATAATCTAGTAAATTTATGATGCAAATAAAAATTTATATGAATAAATGTAGAGTTAAGTTTTGTTTTAATCAAGACAAACACAAGAGAACTTCCATGAAAGAATTGTCAAAACTTATTCAAACACAAAAGAACTTCCATGAAAGAATTGTCAAAACTGATTCAAATAAAAAAACGACCCAAGTCAAACGTAAAATCACGATCTATGAATTTATCAGATTAAGCCGTTAAGCATCAATCATGTCCCCGACTCATTAGCTGGCTTATAATACTTTCCGTACCACAAATATATATACACGCTCTCTGTAGTCTAGCCCTCGATGGGGAGCAAGTGAGGCTGGTTCTTTCATCAGCAACGCCAAAGAATTTACAGTTCTCTGATAACGTTCAGATTGAACATGTCCAAGGAGCAGGGACCCAACCTAGATTGTGGACAACAGGACAAGCCATAAAGAAGAACCCTCTGAAACGAAAACAAGATGGTCAGAGATCATAAAACACGTTGGAGCCCACATGGATCGGAGACAAGCATCCTATCATCTGTAGAGTCCCTCTGTGATCCCACAACAACTAAATCTGCCTAAGGAGTTCTCTAGTCTCGTTCGTGTGAAAGTTCACCGAGTTACAAACAAGGACGGTTGAAAGTCTGCTGGTGTTTCAAGCTCTCTGCTTAATGGGGAAAAAATGCTAGTCTTTGTATACACGATTCAACTTTGTTGGCTTGTTTTCTCAAAAGGGTCTCTGATTTTTTGTCGCATAGCTACAGGATTTCATCATGCTTTCCTTGAAATTCATGCCTTTATGTTATCGATTGTGAACACGTAACGATACCCCTCTTCTATTAGCTTTTAGAAAAACTGCATTTAATAATCTTCTAATCACTTGAAATCAAACCCGCATAAATTTGAACACAGAAGATTAATTGAAACATTTTTTTTTTCCTATCATATATCTTAGTTTTCTATCTCACTCTTTTCAATAATAATAAAATTATTCCATTAATAAGTTTTGTCTACGTCCTCATTACAGATATGGAGTGAGTGTTTATGAATATATGGAGTAAGTGTTTATGAATGCGACAGCTTGTGTTTTATATTGTAATTTACTAATCCACAACTTAGCAAATTCTCTTTGGAGCTCAAATGAGCACATGAGACTTTGTCATTTACGTTACGAAATCGAGATCCTTCGTTATCAGAAGAACTTGGCCGTTTATAACAGGGACAACGAAGACCATGTGATTATTAATCACATTATGATCATCATAATTGTCATCATCGAGATCAATCATGATTTGACCAATGGTTTAAAGTGGAAGCAGCGTCGTCCACTTGCAGAAGCAAATCCTGGAGAGAGAACAGGGAGAAGCGTGCATAAAGGAGGGCTGACAAAAAGAGTGCAATAATGGGCAAAGATAAAAGAAGCTTGTAGCCTTTGAATTCAAGGTGCTTGGTCGAGTGTGGCTGTGGAACTCGTCCTCACTTATTTCAATGTGGAGGAGACAAATGAATCATGCAGGAGGTGGCTTTGTCGTGGACGTGCCATCCTCCCTCGCGCATTTTTCTGCCACTGCCGCCTTAGCGTGCTGCCTTTTGCTTCCTCTTTACTTTCTTATTTCTCTTCGAGCAATCATTGCACGCATCTGCTTTTTCATCTTCTAGGAGCTTGGGCTAATTCTTGACTTGTTTGGGGCCGGGCCATTTCCGTGGCCACCTCCTTTTTCTGTCTTTCATTGTGTTTTTTTAGAATTTATTTATTTATTTTATTTTTATATTATTTTGATACATGAATATTAAAAATAAAATTTTAAAAAATTATTTTAGTTTTTTTAAAATATTTGAGAAAACAACAACTATAATTACAAACATTATATTATTCTCTATTTGCCATTTGTTCAAATTTTAAACCATCAAAACCTTAATAATACAAGGTATTTGCCACTTGTTCAAATTTTAAACCATCAAAACCTTATCAATTTTTTAAAAAATTTTATTTTTATGTGTTTGTATTATGGTAAAAATTATTTTTAAATATAAATATATTTAATTAACATTTTAGATTTTTTTATGATTTTAATATATTTATATTAAAATCATTTAAAAGTACGTAGAAACATTAGTGTTATTTATTTTAAGATAATTAATATCATTTTAAAAATCACTTATGATAAAACGAGTTTTTACATTTCCATCCTCGTTCATATCTATTAAATTCTGAAGGGGAGGACTTAATTTTTCCATGACATGACATTAGGAGCTTCCTAATAAAGTTAGCATTGGAGCTAGTAAAGTTAAAGCTAAGCTCCAAGCCATGGATTAAATTGTCAAAGATACTTTCCATGGATTAAATTGTCAAAGATACTTTCGTTGAAGGCTGAGTTATGTTCAAATAGGCGGCATCAATCGGTTTAAGAGGGGGCTAGTGATGGACATGGCCCCCAAAGTTTTTTTTTAAAATTCAAAACCCCCCCTTGCTTTTTAGAAGTTATCAGAGCAGTCATGTGAAATTGGCCCTCAGAATAATGGAGATGTTGAAATTTAACCCCCCAAGAATGGGAAATGAGGTGCTTGGATGCAAAATGGATCAATAAGCCATTAATTATAATAGGCGGCATCAATCGATTTAAGAGGGGGCCAGTGATGAACATGGCCCCCAAAGTTTTTTTTTTAAATTCAAAACACCCCTTGCCTTTTAGAAGTTATCAGAGCAGTCAAGTGAAATTGCCCCTCAGAATAATGGAGATGTTATAATTTAACCCCCCAAGAATGGAAAATGAGGTGCTTGAATGCAAAATGGATCAATAAGCCATTAATTAGACTAGGTTATGCACCTCTTGAAAGTAGCTCCTAAACATATTTAAAGTGTTGTTTTAAGTAAGCACACAATGTTAAAAGGTAACATAAATATAAAATTTAAATAAAAAAATCATAATATACAAATATTTCATTAATTATCCATTGTATTAGTTACTCCAAGCTCTATATTTTTTTGTTTAATTTTGTTTTAACCGGACTATAACTGTTGAATTTAATCATTTATTAACCTATTTAACTTGTCAATTTTCAAGTCAAATGAATATAGAAAATAATCTATTTAAATCTTAGAAATACCATAAATAATTATATTAGATAAGAACTCAAATTAATTTAAGACTCGTGTGAATGAACAATTTATAGTTTTTCATTTGATTTAAAAATAGATACATGTGTATAGAAAAATAAAAGTTTTCTACATAATAATAATGAATTTAAAAAACTTTACTTGAGAATCTGAATGTTATAATTTAACTGATTAGATTCTAGATTTAATCCCTAGAGGTTACCAATTTAAGTCCTGTAAATCTTAGGATTCTGAAAGTTTATATGGTTGTTAATTTTATAGCCTATAAAATTAGTCGAGATATGCATAATCTATCCTGAAATTAATGTTAATAAAAATAAAAAACTCTATTTAAGTATAAAACTTTATTTAACTCATGGATCATTGCTAGTTTACTAACACGTCCGATTTATTTATTTATTTTGGATCATAACATGTTGAATATATTAAGTCAGGCTATATTATTTATGGATATCATGGATATTCATAAATTGAGCATGATAAGGCTACTAAAATAAATATATTAAAATCAATATAAGAACTATTATAATATTTCACATAAAAATAAAATAAAAATCACTATTAAATATTTTATTAAATAATTAGGATGCATTACGATACAAAAACATTCTGGTAGAAAAAAGACTATAAAATTATTTTGGATTTGTGATTTGACTAAGAATTTTTTTTGAATTTTTCATTTATTTTCTTATGATTTATTAGTTATGTATATAAAAAAAATTAGAATTACAAAACGCTCGTCACTCGATCATTAAGTCAAACTTACAAAAA